TCAGATAATCGTCACTGGTGTTAGCCGTGAGCTGGAATCGAACCCGGGTCGCCAGGTTCATAGCGCAGCGCGCTAACCGCTACACTACCGCTCCCCACTCTCACACACACACTCTCACACACACACACTCATACACACACTCACTCATACACACACACTCACACACACACTCATATACACACACTCACTCATACACACACACTCTCACACACACTCACACACACACTCTCACACACACACTCTCACACACGCTCACACACACACTCTCACACACACACACGTGCACGCATTTTTTGCTGCAAATCCGTTTCCTCTCGCGAGTCTTCGCGTTGCCAGAAAAATGTCGACCCCGGCTCGGTGTTCTTTTTTCCATTTTGCTCTTTGGACAATGCGTGTGTGTGTCTTTGACACCTCGCGCTAGGCGTGTATCATACACGCTCCTCACCCTCACACGCACCTCACACCTCACAATCACACACACCTCACACACACCTCACACACGCCGTCACACACTCCTCACCCTCACACACACCTCACCCTCCCTCACCCTCACACCTCACACTCACACACACCTCACCCTCACCTCATCCTCACCCTCACACGCACCTCACCTCACCCTCACACGCACCCTCACCTCACCCTCACACTCACCTCACACACACCTCACCCTCACACGTCCCTAACCTCACCCTCACCCTCACACGCACCGTCACACACCTAACCATCACACGTTCCTTACCCTCACACACACCGTCACACGCTCATCACCCTCACCCATACACACGCCTCACACGCACCCTCACCTCACCCTCACACACACCTCACCCTCACCTCACCCTCACCTCTCCCTCATCTCACCCTCACACGCACCCTCACCTCACCCTCACACACACCTCACCCTCACCTCACCCTCACCTCTCCTTCATCTCACCCTCACACGCACCCTCACCCTAACCTCACCCTCACCTCACTCTAACCTCACCCTCACCTCACCCTAACCTCACCCTCACCTCTCCCTCATCTCACCCTCACCCCACCCTCACCTCACCCTCACTTCACCCTCACCTCACCCTCACACGCACCCTCACCTCACCCTCACCTCTCCCTCATCTCACCCTCACACGCACCCTCACCCTAACCTCACCCTTACCTCACCCTAACCTCACCCTCACCTCGCCCTATCCCCACCCTCAACTCACCCTCACCTCTCCCTCATCTCACCCTCACACGCACCTCACACGCACCCTCACCCTCACCTCACCTCACCCTCACCTCACCCTCACCTCTCCCTCATCTCACCCTCACCTCACCCTCACCCCACCCTCACCTCACCCTCACCTCTCCCTCATCTCACCCTCACACGCACCTCACACGCACCCTCACCCTCACCTCACCCTCACCCCACCCTCACCTCACCCTCACACGCACCCTCACCTCACCCTCACCTCACCCTCACACGCACCCTCACCCTAACCTCACCCGCGTGCCTCGCGCATCAGAAGCAGGGAGAGACATTTCACAGAGATAGTTTTTTTTTATAAAGTTCATCTGGGTCTCTCGCACGCGCTGGCCGACTCGTACACACAACACGCGGCTTCGTTCAGCCAGAGGCGCCGCGCAGAAACTAACGTTGTTCGAACGTTGTTCAAACGTTGTTTCCGACCATCACCTCGCCACGCAGCCGCACCCACGTCGCCCCATGCTGCCATCGTCACGATGTCCTCCTGGGCTCATACGAATATAACAGGATTGCAATTATATCCGAATACTATGATTATTGTTTGATGTACCTTGCACTCTAGTGGTAGTGCCTTACGCCGACAATACTCAGAGCCAGCCAGCCTTGCAAAAAGCAGCGTTCCGACAAAAGAGTGACATCGAAGTGAGAAGTGAAACTCTGCGCGTGTCCACGTGGTTCCGAGTCGATGAACACGCGAGTCGCTGAACACGCGAGTCGATGAACACGAGAGGCGTTGGGCGAGTTCAGCGAACGACGGCCTCGTTCCGCTCTCGTCGTCGTCATCATTTAAATAAATCTCCATCAAGTCCCCAGTCCGCCTTTCGTGACATGTGCTGCGTTATTTCGATAGTTTCAATGACGGTCCTCAGTACGTCGTTGTGGTCTTGCTCGTCTTGCGCGTCTTCGTCTTCTTGTTCAGGAGGGCCTTGCTTACACCGTTATTGACACGCGTCGCCGATTTCCCTTGCAAGCGAATGGCTGTGTGGTTTTTATTTTGCTTCGTGTTGGAAGGAAGCCGCAGAGGAGTGCCGAGAGAAAACCCCACAACGACAATCACGAGACGGGATTGCGCGTGAAATGTAAAGACTGTTCAAACGGACGCGTTTTATTACAAATTTTCGTACCAAACCGTTTAAAATATGACTGCACTGCCGCTCTTTGAGGTTAAAGGTGACGATGTCTTTCCTGGACACGTCACACCGCCTCGCTCTCTTTGTACAGGAAGTCCATCATCACTTCTAACCTCGTTTTGATGCCAATAATTTATTCGCGGAAAGCTCCAATGCTTCTGGAGAATTTCCCAGGAGGGTCCTTGCTACATTTGGCGGGGGGTGGGGTGTTGTTAGTCAATGGCATCATCTAAAGGAGAGGTTGTTTTTTTTTACCTTCACGTCGGAGGAAAGCAGAGATCCCCGGAGCGAGCGGATCAATCCGCGCCCGCTCTACGCGAGAGGGTGACACTCTCTCCTGGCCACACGAGCTCGCATTCCCGATGACACCCAGACCCCCCCCCCCCCTAACGATGACCCTCGTCCAGATGCCAACCCAACAAGCCGTGGCACCCAGCCCAATATGTTGTTGCTGAGAAAACAATAAAGCGGGAATTGTGTCACGTGACAACAAGCACGATTCACTTGATGCAGAAATTTAGCTGTGACGGTTTCACCTGAAGACGGAAGCTTGTGTTGCCTCCGAAACGTCGTGATTTAATGTATTTGTTTTCTTTTAAACTACGTGACTTTACCGAAAAAAACAACGAGTATGAATCTTTGCAGTCACGAAAACTTGAAATATAAAATGAGATGCAAAAGGTTGCCGAATTGAATCGTGTTTTCGGCTTGTGAACGATTTATTAAGTGAAGGGACTGATTATAATTATTTTAGTGATTTTAGAATGTTTTTTTTATATATAGCGAAAAGGGTCTGAGTTCAATTGTTAGCTCTTGATCTTCGTGGGACCAGAAAACCTTTGCTTCGTTTTGCTTTCGACTGAGCGCCACCACCACTGCCGTCGCGACTCGGGCCGGCTTCGTAGCATCCCAGAATCCGACTGTCGGCGGTTTAGTAAAAAAAAGGGTGTTGCACAAAAACCAGCTCATATGACCTATCGTATGAAAAAAAAACCCAATCTAGATCTGAAGTTTTCGCGACTGCAGGGATCCATACTCTTTGGTTATTTCGGTAAAAGTCACGCAGGTAGAAAACGAATAGATTACGACGTTTCGATCGCAACACAAGCAATCGTCATCAGGTGGGAAAACCACGGCAAGAAACAACTGCATTCTTTGGGGAATCGTTACATATACAGTACATGTTGTATGTGTATAAAATAAATTAAATCACTATTTTCTACCTACGTGACTTTACCGAAAAAAATCCAAGGCTAGTGTCACTCAGAGGTCCGCAGAGATTGGACTCGCGAACCCTATTTGCTGTACTGCACATGCACCGCGCCACTGCTGCTGCTGCTGCTACTGCTGCTGCTACTGCTGCTACTGCTGCTACTACTGCTGCTGCTACTACTACTGCTGCTGCTGCTACTACTACTACTGCTGCTGCTACTGCTGCTGCTGCTACTGCTGCTGCTGCTACTACTGCTGCTGCTACTACTACTGCTGCTGCTGCTACTACTGCTGCTGCTGCTGCTACTGCTGCTACTACTGCTGCTACTACTGCTGCTGCTACTGCTGCTGCTGCTACTACTGCTGCTGCTACTGCTGCTGCTGCTACTACTACTGCTGCTACTACTGCTGCTACTACTACTACTGCTGCTGCTACTACTGCTGCTGCTACTACTGCTGCTGCTGCTACTACTGCTGCTGCTGCTGCTACTACTGCTGCTGCTGATACTACTGCTGCTGCTGCTGCGTGGATGGGTCCGCGTGGCGAGGTCGCACGCCGCCTATTTACTGACACATGGCATCGGGCGGCAGCGAAGAGAGATGATAAAACACAACTTCAAAGGGTCCCATCTCTCTCGCTGACACGACGCGTGATCTTAAAAGGCGAACATCTGCCCGTGGACGCCACGAGGTTTGTGCTGATGCACGACGGTCTACGCCACCCTGCGTATACGCATAGAGACACAGCGCCCCCGCATAGCCTCAACAGACTGTTGGGGCAAGTGCTGTGAGCGAGCCCCTACGAAGGCCGGCACGGCACACGAGGGGGTGGGTGGCCAGCACCACGCCCGGCCGCCTTTTGTCTCGCGAGAAGCGATGTTTGCACACCGCACCAGGTACTCATTTGAGGCTGAGTCGACTTAGGGGATACCTAGGACTAGATTATCGTCACCGGTGTTCTGCCTTGAGCGAGAATTAATCGGGTCGGGCTCGTAGCACAGCGCGGTAAGCGCTACACTATCGCTCACCGCACACACACACATATATATACACACACACATACACACACATACACACACATATACACACACACACGTTAGAATCCTCGCATAGCTCTGAACAGATTGTTGGCGTAAGTGCCGTTAGCGAGCACCGACCGCACTGCTGATGATTGCACGCCGCACCAGGTACTAAATTAAGGCTGAGTCTACTTAGGGGAGGCCCGGGACAAGTTACACTCACTTGACACTGATGTTAGTCTTGGCTAGAAATCGAACTCAGGTGGGTTTGGTTTGCAGCGCAACACGCTGAACCAGTGTTCACCGCTTTCAAAATACGCGCGCACACACACAACAGACAGTACGTAATGCAGTTGACAATACGTGCGGGTGAACGTACACAGCACATGCTCAGTGAAATGTAGATGTATATATATATTTGTATGTAAACATAGGCTTGACCAAGAATGCGTAATACAACAACGATGACAAAAAAATAACGACGACAATAATAACACTGAAAAAAATACTCCAACACATTCATTTGCAATTTCGTACTCGAGAGGATTTAACTTGTTTTGTTGTTGTTGTTAAATATCCCACGAATATTGAACGCTTGGTACCACTGAGCAAGACGATTAGCACGAACGGGATCGAGAGAGAGAGAGAGAGGGCACCTGGCAGTCGCGACTCAGAGACTCTGGGTTCTTCTGCAGAGCACCCCGTGTGAGCCGGGATCACCGCGAGCCGGGATTAGACAGCAGAGCAGACGAGAGACAGAGTTTGGGTTCCAAGCCCAGAGCTTCCCTCCCCAATAAATTACAACGCGTACAGCTGGCGTGAGATAGCGCGCACACACACACTATACATATATATACTTTGCTTGGTCTAGTTCGTATTTAAGCTTACAGGCAACAAAGGAGTGAAGAGAACAATACGGATTTACTAAAATATATAGACATTTCTCAGATATTCGGTTGAACATAAGATGTGTTTAAATCGGACTCATTCGCATGACCACGAGACTGGTTCCTTGTGTTGGCCGAGCATCCTCCGTACCTCACCCGAGTTTACATAAATACGCGACGCGTTTGCTCGACAGAGTTTTTGTTGGTTTGTTTGTTTCCGCTCTGAACAAAAAAAATCATCAAATGTCTCTTGTTTTGTTTCCAGTGAACGGCGGGGGTTGGTTGGTTGGGTGGGGGGGGGGGTCTCAGTTCGTCCACTCCACACCTTGGCCGCGACTAGCTCCGTCGATCTAGAATTCCGCGGTTCCAGAGTCCGTTGCGAGGTCACGCGCAAGCAGGTCACGCGCAAACCGCGGGTCAGCAGCCGGGCCCGAGAGGTGGGGGGCGCGGGGGGGGGGGGGGTGCGTTCACGCGCAGCAGCGGCGAGAGCGAGGAGGGTGAGTTCACGCGAGCCATTGGAAAGCGAGGTCTCAGTTCGCCCTCTCTCCCTCTCCTCCACACGTGGCCGCGACTCAATCCCTCGGGGTTCCCACGAACCAGAGAGCTCCACTCCTCCACGCGGGGCGGCTGCGGAGCAGAGAGAAGCGCCGAGTCAAGGACCGCGCACATCCAGCGAAGGCCCAAATCGCGAGTGCGCTGCGAGAGATGGCGCGGTTATTCACTCGGAAACTCCACGTTTAAAACAATCACTGGCCGTTGTTGTTGTTGTTATCGCTGTTGTTGGTGATGGTGGTTTGTTGTTGCGGGGGGGTGGGCCCCAGAACAAACCATGCACCACCAAACACTGGATATTTCCAAAGGAACCTCTCGGGTTTTACGCATGTATCCAAAACGACTACGTGGCGCGCGTCGCACCGCGCTGCTGCTGCTGCGCCGCGGTGCTGGTCGTGATTGGGGCCCCACGGCACTCGTGGAGGGGGCTGCTCTTGTCGACAACAGCCCGGCACCATTTGTTAAACGAACCACGCTCTGCTGATGAACACAGATAAGTCGAACCCGAGCGAGGTTATTTTTATCTTGCCTTGTTTAAACAAACGCTGTTGAAAATCACTGGTCCCGGAATGCCTTTAAGAGGCGTGATTTCTAAACGTAAACGTCATTTACCCAGGCGGCGAAGCAGACTTCTCGTCTGTTTATTTATTTATTACCTAAAACATGAGTGTGCAGGACCACGTGTTAAATGAGCTGTCGGAAAAGATGGGGGTGGGGGGGGGCAGACGAAAGCAAAAAGCCCAGGGCTCAATGGAACAAGCGGTGGGAGCCGGAGCCTCTTGCCGTGCGGTTGTTTGGCTTCGTGGCTGTGGTCTGGCCAGGGCCGTGGAAACACAAATAAGCGGCCCCGAAAGAAACTTCATTCTCCCGCTCCACTTAGAACCTCCGCGCAAAGATTCCTGGCCAATAATTCTGCCCGAGTATTATTATTCATATTCTTCTTCTTCTTCTTGTAACCATCATCTCACTTTACTTGACTGAGTAACCCGTTCCTCTCTGTCATACTCCATAGGGCACGTCAGTTGTCCATCGGCTGCGGGCACTGCGAATGAGACGGGAAGTTGCGCAGGTGGCCGATGCGCGTCTTGGTCGAGTAAATATCGAGACGGCGAGAGGCTCCCAACTCACGGAGTCATCTCGTGGTGCGCCGACCACTCGTCGAAGCGGAGTCAATTATAGAGCGTGTGAGAGACCGAATTAAGTGTCCGGGTGTGGTAGCCGATGCCTTTAACAGCGAGCTGTCAATTACACCTCGCCCCCACCACTCCACCCCATGCGCAGCAAAGCGCCCCTCGCGAGGAGACGAGTGGGCGCGCGTACTCACCACAGTCCTTTGCATACACGTGAAAACGTGTGTGTGAACACACGTGTTCACGTATGTGTGTGAACACGTGTGTGTGTGAACGTGTGTGTGTGTGAACACGTGAACACGTATGTGTGAACGTGTGTGTGTGAACACGTGAACACGTGTGTGTGTGTGTGTTGACCTGCGCGCGTGCATGCGTGCTCGCATGTGTGTACACACTCGTGTGCAAAGGGTACGCGGACACAGCGGCGGCGGCGGCGGCTGTTGCCGCTGCGCGTTCGTCTCGTGCCCCACGCGCGCGTGTGCCCGTCGTGCCCGTCGTGCGCGCGCGCGCGCGAGTTCTGTACCGTGTCAATGCGATGCGGAGAGCGACCAGGCGCCTTCCATGCGCCACACGGAGAAGGCGTAGCTCAGCCGCTCCTGCGCCACGTAGCTGCACGCGGCGCTGAGCCTGGCGTCGGCGCCTCCGCCTCCGCCGCCTCCTCCTCCGCCGCCTCCTCCTCCTCCTCCGTTGCCGCCTTCGTCGTCGCTCTGCAGCACCTGGTAGAGGAAGTCGATGTAGCGCGTCGCCAGCTTCAGCGTCTGGATCTTGCTCAGTTTGTCCGAGGGCAGCGTCGGGATGATTTGGCGCAGGGACGAGAACGCCTCGTTCAGGGACTGCGTGCGCTGCCGCTCGCGCACGTTCGCGATGAAGCGCTGCTGCTGCATCTCCTCGCCCGACAAGGGGCTGCCCTCGCTGCCCGCTGCAGCTCCGCCACCCGCGCCGCTCACCACTCCGCCACCGCAACCCGCTCCTCCCGAGACGCCCATGCCACCGCCACCGCCACCGCCACCGCCGCCACCGCCACCTCCTCCTCGCTTGCCTCGCTTCCCGCCGCCCGCACCGCCCTCGGCGATGTTCGCGCGTCGCTTGCGGGATCCCCGCCTGCTCGCCGGCCTCTCCCCGGGGTCCTCCTCGCTGGGGAGAGGGCTCGAGAGCGGCGAGAGCGGAGAGCTGGCCGGCGACTCCATCACGAGCCTCACGTCTCTCACCTCCATGGGTTGCGCTGCGCTGCTACCGCGCGATCCGTTGGGGCTTGAGAGGCCACGCGCGGGTCTCACGCTCTCCCCGAACTCTTCCCAAGACGCCGAATCCGTCGTTCTTCTTTGTCTCTCTCTCTCGTCTCGCTGTCCCCCCCCACCCCTATCTCTCCCCCCCTCTCGCTCGCTCTATCTGGTTTCCTTACCGACGTCACGCGGCAAAGCGCCGTGCTCCTGCCCCCGGTCTCTGCGTTGTGGAACTCGAGTCGTTGTGGAACTCGATTCGTTGTGGAACTCGAGTCGCTATGGAACTTTAGTCGTTGTTGAACTCGAGTTGTTGTGGACCACGAGTCGCTCTGGAACTCGATTCGTTGTGGAACTCGAGTTGTTGTGGAACTCGAGTCGCTCTGGACCACGAGTCGCTGTGGAACTCGAGTCGTTGTGGAACTCGAGTCGCTCTGGACCACGAGTCGCTCTGGACCACGAGTCGTTGTGGAACTCGAGTCGCTGTGGAACTCGAGTCGCGAATTCCCGTCGGGGTCGCGCTCACTCACGCGCGCGCAACGGCGATGGAGGCGTCGCTCCGAATCCTGAGCGGAGTCGGAGGAGCGCGCACGAGGGGAGGAATTTATACAGCGACTCGGTGCCCCCGCCTCCCCCCTCCATCGCCCCCGCACTGCACTGCTCATTGGGCCCTCTTGTTTTTAGATCATTTGCATATCCCTTGGTATCCCTAATAATGAGCGGTGGGCGTGCGAGTTGCGTGCGTTACGAGTGCGGCGCGCTGGGCTATGCGCACGCGTGCGTGCGGGTTAGCAGGACAGCGATCACATCTGTCGAGAGAATCGCAAAAATAAACGCGGTTTACTCTCGGGGGCGGCAGGAAACGTCGGGGTTTTGACGAACGAAAAAAACAATCCGTCGACTGAATGTGAACTGCTACGATACGAACTTGGTTCGTTTTAATCCGCAGTTTCCGGCGGTTTCACGCGCCGGACTGCCACGTTCACATCGTGTTCATGAAGACCCCGGGAGCGAGTCTCGTTCTGGAGTCGTGGTGCACTGGGATGCTGCGTCGAAGGCGTTTCTTTGCTGTGTGGCCTCCGCGCGGGAGGAGAAGCGCAAACGACGAATGAGCAACGCTCCAAGCTCCGCACGGACGGATACAAGAATCCATCCGTTGCTTTATTTCAATCTGTCGCCCACTTCGCAGCCCCGAGCCCACAACACCTGGCACGCACACAGGCAGTCTCCTATCAACGACTTGATCAGGCAGTCTCCTATCAACGACTTGGTCAGGCAGTCTTCCTGATGCGCTCACGATGAGCAGCAGGTTTGCAGCCCGGCCCAGGGCGCCTCACCCCACGTGGCTTTGATTAATTGACGAGAGGCGACCACGGCGACACCTGCCGAGTCCCGGGTTGCTCCGGAGGTGTTGCGCTTTCGCTCGTGAGGAGCGGTGGCGCAGTGGTTGGCGCACTGCGCCGTGAGTCCGGCGCTCACGGGAGCCGACGTCGGTGGCGACCCGCTGGACACGTCTCTGGGCATCCCCCGCCTCGCCCTGGACGGCATTTAGTGGTGCAAATTAAAATCGGCGTGAACGTATGTGCAGCAACGTATGTTGATTTTACTTTTATTTACTGTCCTTGTTTGATTTTTGTGACTTGCGTTCGCATTTTTTATATTTTGCACTCCTCTAGATTTTGTATTATTGTATTTATATTGTTAGTTTGTATTGTTTATTTTGTATTGTTAGTTTGTATTGTTTATTTGTAGTTTTTTTTATTATTGTTTGTTTGTATTGTTTGTTTGTTGGTTGTTGTAACTTGCTGACCCGCCACTACAGGACCTCTGTGAGCAAAGAGCTTCACAGCCCATCGGATTCCTCCTGCTGCTGCTGCAGTCCAAATGAAGATTCTGATTCTGAGATTCAAGCGTGGCGTGGCGTGTAAACGTGAGTATTGAGGTGGTGGCCACCCACCCTCTCGTGTGACGTGCCCGCCAGAGTAGGTGCTCACGAACACGACTTTACACCCACACAGAGACTCAAGCTCTACTCATATGGGGGATCTTTGTCTTGCTATGTCGATATGTATGTCTGCGTGTCTCTCTGTGGGTGCGTCTGTGTGCATGTGTAGAGGAGGATCGTGAAGGACGCTGCTACTGGTAAGTTGGAGGCAGGCGCCCTCCAACAACAATGGAGCGACGCTCACAACAACGAGCGGAGCACCGGGCAGCTAAAATACAGAAAATGGGCACAGTAGGGGGCACACCTGGTGCATCTCTACCAGTCATCTCAGTCAGTCAACCCATGGCACCTGGGGTCAGACATTTCTGACGATGTGGGACGAGGGGGTGGTTGAGAAATGTGACGTCACATCAAAATGCGCAACTTTAAATAAATATAGACAACACGTTCTACTTAATTAAATCGAATTTCTAATAAATGTTTTCTCCTACAACATCAGAGTGCAGCGCCACATTAAATACGCACTACAATGACAATAGTTTAAAGCGATTCCAAGCATGTTTTATTTTCAAATGGAAATATGGTTTTGTGGGGGGGGGGGGGGGGGGGGGGCAGAGCTTTGTGACGTCATATTTGCGGGAGGGGGGGTCTGACTTTTTGTGACGCAGTGTGCACGGAGTGTCTACACGCGCGCGTGTGTGTGTCTGTGTGTCTGTGTGAGAGAGACAATTTTGCGTCTTCACCTGCACATCTCTGGGCGCGCGTGTCCCGCGACTTGCAGTCTGATGAGCCGTTGACGCGTCACGTGTTCTCAAAGTGCACCAAGCCTGGCACCAACACCTCGTGGAAGTTACCAACAATTAGTGCCGAATTGCGGTTGTTGCGTGCGCGCGTGCGCGTGTGCAATTGTGCGTGTGAGCGGTGTCAAGATCGGCCCATGTGAAGGAAGCTCGTGGAGGACGCTGCTACGGGTCATCTGGAGGCAGTCTCCCTCCAACAACAGCGGAGGGCGGAGAAGCGACGCTCACAACAATGGGCAGAGCGCCTGGTGGATAAAACGTAGCAATTTGGCACAATGGAGAGCACAGGTCATCCCAGGCAGTAAACCAATACCATCTGGGTCTGTCCCGTCACTTCCTGTGAGTGAGCCTTCGACACTTTGACGTGAGCTCGAAGTGCACCTAGACTGGCACAAGCGTGGTGGTGACGTCACTTACACTTCGTGACAAACGGCAGTTGTCAGGAGTATTGAGTGACAATGCGTGAGAGAGTGAGTGAATGAGTGAGACTGTGTGAGACTGTGTGAGAGTGAGACTGTGAGAGAGTGAGAGAGTGAGTCTGTGTGAGAGTGAGTGAGTGAGTCAGTGTGAGAGTGAGTGAGTGAGACTGTGTGAGAGTGAGTGAGTGAGACTGTGTGAGAGTGAGTGAGTGAGTCTGTGTGAGAGTGAGTGAGTCTGTGTGAGAGTGAGTGAGTGAGACTGTGTGAGAGTGAGTGAGTGAGTCTGTGTGAGAGTGAGTGAGTCTGTGTGAGAGTGAGTGAGTGAATCTGTGTTAGAGTGAGTGAGTCTGTGTGAGAGTGAGTGAGTGAGTCTGTGTAAGAGTGAGAGAGTGAGTCTGTGTGAGAGTGAGTGAGTGAGTCTGTGTGAGAGTGAGTGAGTGAGTCTGTGTGAGGGTGAGTGAGTGAGAGTGAGTGAGAGTGAGTGAGTCTGTGTGAGAGTGAGTGAGTGAGTCTGAGTGAGAGTGAGTGAGTGAGCCTGTGTGAGAGTGAGTGAGTGAGTCTGTGTGAGGGTGAGTGAGTGAGTCTGTGTGAGAGTGAGTGAGTGAGACTGTGTGAGTGAGAGTGAGTGAGTGAGTCTGTGTGAGAGTGAGTGAGTGAGACTGTGTGAGTGAGAGTGAGTGAGTGAGTCTGCGTGAGAGTGAGTGAGTCTGTGTGAGAGTGAGTGAGTATGTGTGAGAGTGAGTGAGTGAGTCTGTGTGAGAGTGAGTGAGTCTGAGTGAGAGTGAGTGAGTCTGTGTGAGAGTGAGTGAGTGAGTTTGTGTGAGAGTGAATGAGTGAGAGTGAGAGTGAGTTAGAGTGAGTGAGTGAGTCTGTGTGAGAGTGAGTGAGAGTGAGTGAGTGAGTCTGAGTGAGTGAATCTGTTTGAGAGTGAGTGAGAGTGAGTGAATCTGTGTGAGAGTGAGTGAGTGAGTCTGTGTGAGTGTGAGTGAGTCTGTGTGAGAGTGAGTGAGTGAGTCTGTGTGAGAGTGAGTGAGTCTGTGTGAGAGTGAGTGAGTGAGTCTGTGTGAGAGTGAGTGAGTGAGTCTGTGTGAGAGTGAGTGAGTCTGCGTGAGAGTGAGTGAGTGAGAGTGAGTGAGTGAGTGAGTCTGTGTGAGAGTGAGTGAGTGAGGGAGTGAGTGAATCTGTGTGTGAGTGAGTGAGTCTGTGTGAGAGTGAGTGAGTGAGTCTGTGTGACAGTGAGTGAGTCTGTGTGAGAGTGAGTGAGTGAGAGTGAGTGAGAGTAAGTGAGTGAGAGTGAGAGTGAGTGAGTGAGTCTGTGTGAGGGTGAGTGAGTGAGAGTGAGTGAGTGAGTCTGAGTGAGAGTGAGTGAGTGAGTCTGTGTGAGAGAGAGTGAGTGAGTCTGTGTGAGGGTGAGTGAGTGAGTCTGTGTGAGAGTGAGTGAGTCTGTGTGAGAGTGAGTGAGTGAGACTGTGTGAGAGTGAGTGAGTGAGAGTGAGTGAGTGAGTCTGTGTGAGAGTGAGTGAGAGTTAGTGAGTAAGTGAGAGTGAGTGAGAGTGAGTGAGTGAGTCTGCGTGAGAGTGAGTGAGTGAGTCTGTGTGAGGGTGAGTGAGTGAGAGTGAGTGAGAGTGAGAGAGTGAGACTGTGTGAGAGTGAGTGAGCGAGACTGGATGAGAGTGAGTGAGTGAGTCTGTGTGAGAGTGAGTGAGTGAGACTGTGTGAGAGTGAGTGAGTCAGTCTGTGTGAGAGTGAGTGAGTGAGAGTGAGTGAGAGTGAGTGAGTGAGACTGTGTGAGAGTGAGTGAGTCAGTCTGTGTGAGAGTGAGTGAGACTGTGTGAGGGTGAGTGAGTGAGTTTGTGTGAGAGGGAGTGAGTGAGTCTGTGTGAGAGTGAGTGAGTGAGTGAGAGTGAGTGAGAGTTGGTGAGTGAGACTGTGTGAGAGTGAGTGAGTGAGTCTGTGTAAGAGTGAGTGAGTGAGTCTGTGTGAGAGTGAGTGAGACTGTGTGAGAGTGAATGAGTGAGTCTGTGTGAGAGTAAGTGAGACTGCGTGAGAGTGAGTGAGTGAGACTGTGTGAGTAAGTGAGAGTGAGTGAGTCTGTGTGAGAGTGAGTGAGTGAGTCTGAGTGAGAGTGAGTGAGTCTGTGTGAGAGTGAGTGAGTCAGTCTGTGTGAGAGTGAGTGAGTCTGTGTGAGAGTGAGTGAGTGAGTCTGTGTGAGAGTGAGTGAGTCTGTGTGAGAGTGAGTGAGTGAGTCTGTGTGAGAGTGAGTGAGTGAGTCTGTGTGAGAGTGAGTGAGTCTGCGTGAGAGTGAGTGAGAGTGAGTGAGTGAGTCTGTGTGAAAGTGAGTGAGTGAGGGAGTGAGTGAATCTGTGTGTGAGTGAGTGAATCTGTGTGAGAGTGAGTGAGTGAGTCTGTGTGACAGTGAGTGAGTCTGTGTGAGAGTGAGTGAGTGAGAGTGAGTGAGAGTAAGTGAGTGAGAGTGAGAGTGAGTGAGTGAGTCTGTGTGAGGGTGAGTGAGTGAGAGTGAGTGAGTGAGTCTGAGTGAGAGTGAGTGAGTGAGTCTGTGTGAGAGAGAGTGAGTGAATCTGTGTGAGAGTGAGTGAGTGAGTCTGTGTGAGAGTGAGTGAGTCTGTGTGAGAGTGAGTGAGTGAGACTGTGTGAGAGTGAGTGAGTGAGAGTGAGTGAGTGAGTCTGTGTGAGAGTGAGTGAGAGTTAGTGAGTAAGTGAGAGTGAGTGAGAGTGAGTGAGTGAGTCTGCGTGAGAGTGAGTGAGTGAGTCTGTGTGAGGGTGAGTGAGTGAGAGTGAGTGAGAGTGAGAGAGTGAGACTGTGTGAGAGTGAGTGAGCGAGACTGCATGAGAGTGAGTGAGTGAGTCTGTGTGAGAGTGAGTGAGTGAGACTGTGTGAGAGTGAGTGAGTGAGTCTGTGTGAGAGGTAGTGAGTGAGTCTGTGTGAGAGTGAGTGAGACTGTGTGAGAGTGAGTGAGTCAGTCTGTGTGAGAGTGAGTGAGACTGTGTGAGGGTGAGTGAGTGAGTTTGTGTGAGAGGGAGTGAGTGAGTCTGTGTGAGAGTGAGTGAGTGAGTCTGTGTGAGAGAGAGTGAGTGAATCTGTGTGAGAGTGAGTGAGTGAGTCTGTGTGAGAGTGAGTGAGTCTGTGTGAGAGTGAGTGAGTGAGACTGTGTGAGAGTGAGTGAGTGAGAGTGAGTGAGTGAGTCTGTGTGAGAGTGAGTGAGAGTTAGTGAGTAAGTGAGAGTGAGTGAGAGTGAGTGAGTGAGTCTGCGTGAGAGTGAGTGAGTGAATCTGTGTGAGGGTGAGTGAGTGAGAGTGAGTGAGAGTGAGAGAGTGAGACTGTGTGAGAGTGAGTGAGCGAGACTGCATGAGAGTGAGTGAGTGAGTCTGTGTGAGAGTGAGTGAGTGAGACTGTGTGAGAGTGAGTGAGTGAGTCTGTGTGAGAGGGAGTGAGTGAGTCTGTGTGAGAGTGAGTGAGACTGTGTGAGAGTGAGTGAGTCAGTCTGTGTGAGAGTGAGTGAGACTGTGTGAGGGTGAGTGAGTGAGTTTGTGTGAGAGGGAGTGAGTGAGTCTGTGTGAGAGTGAGTGAGTGAGTGAGAGTGAGTGAGTCTGTGTGAGAGTGAGTGAGTGAGACTGTGTGAGAGTGAGTGAGTGAGAGTGAGTGAGTGAGTCTGTGTGAGAGTGAGTGAGAGTTAGTGAGTAAGTGAGAGTGAGTGAGAGTGAGTGAGTGAGTCTGCGTGAGAGTGAGTGAGTGAGTCTGTGTGAGGGTGAGTGAGTGAGAGTGAGTGAGAGTGAGAGAGTGAGACTGTGTGAGAGTGAGTGAGCGAGACTGCATGAGAGTGAGTGAGTGAGTCTGTGTGAGAGTGAGTGAGTGAGACTGTGTGAGAGTGAGTGAGTGAGTCTGTGTGAGAGGGAGTGAGTGAGTCTGTGTGAGAGTGAGTGAGACTGTGTGAGAGTGAGTGAGTCAGTCTGTGTGAGAGTGAGTGAGTGAGAGTGAGTGAGTGAGTGAGACTGTGTGAGAGTGAGTGAGTCAGTCTGTGTGAGAGTGAGTGAGACTGTGTGAGGGTGAGTGAATGAGTTTGTGTGAGAGGGAGTGAGTGAGTCTGTGTGAGAGTGAGTGAGTGAGTGAGAGTGAGTGAGTGAGTGAGAGTGAGTGAGTGAGTCTGTGTGATGGTGAGTGAGTGAGAGTGAATGAG